TAACTGATTAAAAGAAAAAACGCCGAGACACGACAAAGGAGTTGTCAATAGGAACAAATTTTCAACCAAAAACTACTTCACCTCTTTTCGCCCTCGGCTGGTCATAGCCTTAAAAATATTAAATGACGAATCGAGTAATAGCTTGTTTAAAAGGTCTTTCCAAGCCCTTTATTTTGACGTTTGATTTTTTAAAATCAATAGATTCCTTTTAGAGGAAATTCTCTGTTTATCTCAATTTGTTCAAATAGGAAACAAAAACTCACGAAAATATAACTTTTTATTTCGATAAGTGTTCAAAATGTTGCCCGTTAGGGTTTGCCAAATCTACAATTCGTTTATAATTTGAATCGGAAACTACCAACATAAACAGCAATTCGAAAGACTAGACGTGGCAACAACCAAATAACAACCCGAATTTTTTTCCGCATTCCTGGGCGAACTGTATTTATTGTTATATCTGTTTAGTTATCTTTTGCTAAGGGAAAGAAAAGATTTAATTTGCTGTCAGTTACCTGTGTGGCAATCTTGGGATAGTGAGAATTAATTTATTGATTCATATGTTACTTCTAAGATGGTTTACACACTAGCCGAAAAAGTGGAAATGATTCTAATTAATCACGTTTAACGCCAGACATCCGGAGAAGATAGCTTCGCATAGGTATAGTATATTTTGGACCTTGTTACTAAATTTACTCAAACTGGATCTGTTGCAAATAAAAAACGTGATCATCGGAGATTTTTAGATGAAGCTCAAGTTGAAGTTTTGGATCATTTTGGGATAAATCCTAATACTTCATTAAGCAAAATTGTTGTTGCGACTGGTACTTTATTAGGCTATGTACACACAGATACTAAACTCCATAAATTTCATCCATTCAAAATGAAAATATTGCAAGAATTAACCGAAGATAATTTCGATAGACGAGTTGAGTTTTGTGAACAAATCACCATTCATGTAAAGAATATCTGCTTCAGTGATGAATGCACATCTTATCTAAATGGATTTGTTATTAAGCATAGCTGCAAGTATTGGAGCAATGAAAATCCTCAAGCTTTTGTAGGAGGGCATACCCAGTACCTCCAAAGAATTAATGTATGTGCAGGCATTTTAGGAAACAAAGTGATTGGGTCATTGTTTAGTAAATAGAAATTTGAATAGAAACATGTATTTGGATATGTTGGAAAATGCCATCAATCCGCTTATTA